GCAAGTCACTTGATGTCTCTCAATTCTCTGTACATAAAAGCTGTGATAAAAGTGCAGCACCCTGGCATGGTGCAGTGGGATATGTGCCCTGTGGGGGACTGGGCACTTGGATGTGTGGTGGTGGCAGCCCTGTGGGGACAGCTGAGGGATGACATTTTGGCCCTGTGGGATTTCTTTCTACATCACTCATCTCATTTAGGCACCATGTTCTGCAATCGGGGTCTCCTGTTTCACAGTCCCACAATGAAGTTACAAATGTGTGGTCAGTCTGTCATACTCAAGATGACAAAAGGCAGTGTAAATGTTGGGTTGTGACAACAGGAGCAGGCAGATCTGGGTGGCCTGGTGGTCCCAACCTAAGCTCTGCCCAAGTCTCAAGACTGAAGGCTATGCAAGTACCTGGGAATAATTCAGGACATGGTGTGTTTCCTGTGAGCTTGTTGCTGCCAAATGGCACCAGGTTTCCAGGAGCTGAGATCTGGTGCTCAGCACCACTGCAGAGGCAGCAGGACTGTGTTTGCTGTTTCCCTACCTCACTCTATCTTTTCTAGCCCTGTGGGGACCCACATCAGCTGCCAGCACAGAGCAGCTCATTCACCCCAAGCTCAGCTCCAGGGTGACGAGCCAGCAGCAGTGCCAGTGCACACCTGGGCAAGGGGGTAAGATCCACTCCTGACACCAATCCAGGGATTTGGCTTGGGGATCCATTTGGCTCGGTGCTCCCCAGAAATGCGACTCAGAAGCCACTCTGAGAGATAGGTGTGACACCAAGTCCCCCAGGAGCAAGAGCAGCATCTCCAGGGTGAGAGCAGAGCATGCACAAGCCAAGCAGGGACCATGCTGGAAAGCACAAAGCCTTATAAAGGCAGTGCTCTGGGTTTGTCCTTCTTTCAGCTCTTCCAGGCGATGAAAAGGGCGGCTCACAACCGTAATTAACTGGAACATGCTAATACCACTGAGCTTCTCTGGCCAGCGAATTTGGCACGAGGCATGTGGGACACTTTCCAAACAACTGCTCAGGGGAATGCGTGCGTGCAATTTATTATTCCATGAGCAGCTTTTCCTCTCTCCCTCCACTGAAGAGCTCAGACCAGAAACATGAGGGAGGTGAGTCTGGAGCCTGCAAATCCACTTCAAAAGCCATTTCATGCTGGAGAGAGAAGAGACCTATTTCTCCCCAGGCCTTAAAGGTATTTAAGGTGCCAGGGGAAATGCAGCTTTGCACAGCATTACCTCTCTGAGCGCTCAGGGCTTCCAAATGCTGCAGCACGTGGTGCTCAGCTTCCCATGGGGAAAACCACGTTCCTTCAGGGTGACATTCACACTGGGCAGAAGATGCGCAGCCTCCAATAACACCTGCCTTTGAGGACCAGAGCACTGCGCATCATCATTTTGCAGAAGAAAGTAGAGGAGCACAACCAGCCTCAGCAGGTGGAGAAAGGAGAAAGGTGGAGGTGGCCCTGGAGCCACATCTCCGGGATGGGTTATTCCCAGTTTTGACAGCTGTCCTGGGCTAGGCAGTGCCCCGGGTTATTCCCCTGGAAAAGGAGGGGGAAGGAGCCTGCCAAACTCCTATTACAGATAAATCAGCCTGTGAACTTTGAATGGGGAGCGAAGAGCAGAGCTCTGAAAAAGATCAGTAAGATGTTTCCTCCGTGTTTACGGTGCCGTCAAAAGCGGAGGCAGGAGGGGCAGCCTCCCAAAGGCCACCTCCTGCCTCCAGCCTCAGCTTCAGCCTGGTGCCTGCCCCAATGTCCTTGGCCCCAGGGCTGTTCAGGACAGCTCCTGCACAGGGCTTGGCTGGCAATGAGCTGCCTGGCCACCCGGCACCACAGCCTCACCAGTAGAGACACTGGGAACAAGTCAGAAGGCCTGTGCAATATTCCCAGGATCACACTGGTTTGACCACCCATTTTTTCCCCACCTTGGGGCCAGGGGACTCCCCTTCCCGTACTTCCCCCATCACCAGCATCGTTCCCATGCATCCCTCTTCCTTGGCTGGGCTGCCCCTTGTCCTCAGCATTGCCCACGGGGCTGTGTGGCCAGGCATGGCACCATGTGCCTCCAGAGGGCACGTCCCTCCCTGCTCCCTTCCCATCCCATCCTTTGCAAACATGAATTGTTATGGCGACAGCTCCAGAAGGAAAACCTTTTTGAGGATCTTCTAGATTTTTGAAGAAAGATATAGCCACAATCATTTTCCTTAAAGGAGCTGGTTATCTCACTCAATGGCAACTGAATTTCTTTCCCTTTGTTTTTGGCAACCATCTGAGTAACGCTCAGGCTCTGGCTTTTGTTGTGTGGCTGTAAGAAAATGGAAGGGGGAAAGGTAGAGCCAAGGGTGGCTTTTAAATCCTGTCAGATCACAGGAGGGTGTCTCCAGGCTGAGGTTATACTGCACAGGTCTGAGGCCATCTTTAATGCAAATAATGCATATAGCAAACAGCCTCAGGCCAGCCTAAAAAAATTTAAAAGAATCCATATACTTTAGGTCCTGCAGAGGCAGCTTGACACATCTGTGAATGCTTCTCAGCTTCACCATGGATGAACTGGGTATCCATGTGCCAGAGAGGAGAGTTACAGGGCATCCTTCTCCTGGGGACCAGGCTACAGGCTGGCTTTGGAGCTGCAGCTTGACCTATGGCAGGGACAGGTGAGAGGACAAAGCTGTTTTAGCCAAGCCCTGTTCTGTGTGTGGAGTATTAGAGGGGCTTCATGCATAGCATGAACATTAACAGAAATGTTAATATTTGCAGAAACCTCCTGGTTTTGGCACCTGGGTGTGGAATGTGAATGTGGATTCCTGGCTGCCCAGGGGCTGTGTGGGGAATGTCACATCTCAGTGTGTCAGAGCCTGGGCGTGACGGCTCATGGTGCTGCACCCGAGGAGTCCTGGAGAGGGAGGCTGGGCTGAGCAGCTCAGCAGCCATGTGAACCTGCTCCCTAGGAACTGAGCTGTTTGAGCATCCCTGGGGAAAAAAAAAATAAATACAAAAAATCCATGATTAAGCAGCATTCATCCTCCTGTGCCTGTTCCAGGACCTGTTCCTACATGCCATCACCAGTGGGCTGGCATTACCCAATGCTTCCAAAGCCATGCAGCACTCAAGGGATCACAAGAGCCCACGGTGCAAACTCCTTCCCTCTGTGTAGTAGGAATTGGATTTGTCCATGCTAATCCCCAGCCCTTCACCGTGATCATGCTCCTGGGTACATGAGGGACAAAATGACACAACCCTTTAGACCACTGGCCTTATTGACCTGGGTGCTTTATGGAATGTTTGGGATGGTTTGAACCTGCTCAACACCTCTCACCATCTCCATCTGGCTCACATCTGGACCCTGGTTGCCTGTTCATGGGATTACTTGAGACCAGTCAGCTGCCTTCAGAGCCCAAGGCTTTGGGCTTAGCAAAACAGCTGTGTCATTTATGTCTGGGAAGAAAATATTGGCAAATAATGGCCTACCCTTTGGTCACCCTCCTCCTCCAGCTATTTATCCAAAGATAGATCTCAGAGCATTGCTTCATTTCCTGCTTGCTTTTCTAACCAAGGCCTTTAAATTATGTCCCCGCAGCTGAGGTCATGGGGAGATGTGTAATATTTGTTAATGGTGATGCGGTTGTTACCTTGATTCACCCCATCCCTTCTTCTTTCACTTATTTTCTTTCTGCTTGCTGCTTTCACTTTCCATTTCTTCCTCCCTCTTGGTCTCAGTGCAGGAGAAAGCTGGCAGGAGCCCCCTGAAGTGGAGCCTCCTAGGGTGCAGCCTGCTTTTGGGGACATCAGGAGTCTGGGGATTTCTCCCAGACTAGGAGCTTCACAAGCAGGGCTGGTTCCAGGCTTCCCCATTCTCACCCCCATAGAGCCCTTCCCCTGAGGAATTGTTGAAAAGACCAGATTTCAGCTTTCAGAATTCAGCTCAGTATCTGGAATGTGGAAATGGGAACCACTGAAAGGTCCCAGCCTAAGGAGAGAGGATAGGACTGATAAGTCTTTGTGTTTCAAACTGACTCCCACACGTGGCCTTTCAAACCCCAGCAGGCAGCTGAGCCGGGAATTTCCAAGTGCTGCTGCTCTTTCTTCCCTTCCAGCCACACCAAAAGCACCAGCTCACCACATACCAGAGGATCCACTGCAGGGAAGGGGCTGTGGGTGCAGGGGCACCGACCAGCAAGCACAGGAGGGGCTGCCCAGCACCTCCCCACTGCAGGACCCGAGGGCTCCAGCCCCAGTTTGCCCCTCTGCCCCCTCCCCTGCCCCATGGCCAAGCACAGCTCCAGGAAAGTCATGGGGAGAGAGGGATCCTGAGGAAGTCAAGTCCTTAGTGTTTAATGGCACTCAGAACAAAGTGAAACTGGGAACTAAAAATGCAAAGCTTCTCCATCCCTCGAGCTTTTCCATCTGCATTTGCAGAGCTGATGTGAGGGCCTGAAAGTGCAGATCAGCATTTTCTTCCCCTTCCACTCGTGTATCTCTGGGATCTCAGTGAAGCCCTCCAGCAGCCAAACCCACCGAGCTTCCCCCTTCGTCTCCCTCCATCTGTAAAGCCCAACAGAGCCTCTGACAGACACCTGGCTCCAAGAACCCACATTTACTGCACAGAACTGCCAAGGGATTTGGACCCAACCCATGAGCTTTTGGCCAGGCCCTTCCCGATCCACGTTATCCTTCATCTCCCCTGTGCATCATCAGGCTCTCCAAACATGGCGTTCTCAGGTCCCAGCCCAGAGCTTGGAGCCTCCCAAGAGAGATATGCTAAAAAAAGAAAGAAAAACATTACATTGCCAACTGCGGTGAGTGCTGAAAAGAGGGAGATGCCAGGAGCATTTAAACAAGAATTCCAGACCCAGGGACGCTTGGGCGTGTGTTTTCAATCCACAGGCAGGAGACGTGTTCGTTGGGAAGTGACTGCCACTCACTGTTAGTTTTAGATCTTGTACTTGGCATCCCAGAATGGCCATGGTGACATCCCTGCCTGCCTTGGAACTTTCTTCTGGGATGGATGGGTCGGTGCAGTGCACAGTAAAGTGGTGCCACTCCTCCTTTGGCTCCGAAACCTGCCTTTGCAGCTCAGACTTGCAAAGATGGAGATGAGTGATTACACACGAGTGGTCGGTCCTGTTGGTGGCAAGGGGAGTTATTTGGGAAAATCAAGTCAAGACATCAGTGGGTCTGGGACTCCCTCGGGTGCTGTGGGGTGTCCTGCAGCATCTGGGCCCAGCTGGCAGCGCAGTGTCCTGGTACAGAGCAGCACTCCCAGGGGAGCTCCATCCCACAGACTTGTGCCTGCCCCG